GCCTCCTTCAATTCAACACTCTTCGATTGGACTTTTCACCTCTCTCGATTGCTCAAAAGTTGCTGCTAGCGTGCCTCTTTCGTCTGGGCATGTGACTTCTTTTTGCAGGCTTCGTTTGTGCCTTTTACTGCCTGCATGCTTGCTTTGAATACCAAGTTTGTTGACCACAAGTTCCCCCTGCAAGGCAAACCTTTCAACTGAGCAAGTATGTTGCCTACATGCTTGCTTTGAATGGACAAATTTTGCTGCGAGGCAAGCCTTTCGATTGGACAAGTATGCTTCTTGCATACTTGCAATCGAAGGCCATGAAATGCTGGCCACATGTGCCCCCTAGAAGGAAAGCCTTTCGATTGGACAAGTATGCTGCCTGCATGCTTGCAATCGAAGACCATGACCTGCTGGCCATATGTGCCACCTGGAAGGCAAGCCTTTCGTTTGAACAAAAGTACCTACATACAAAGCTTTGATTGGTTTACACAAGTTTGTGATACATTGCCTAAGGGTTCGAAGGTTTATTTATTGGATAATACCATTCTTGGATAAATTGGCAAAAGACTATGTACCCTTTCTTCATAAAAGGTACTTTAGTCACAAAATCAGCTTTCAACCTGATTTTGGTCTGAGCACAAGCAAGGCCAGAAGCATAAGTCACATCTTCTGCATCCTAACTGCCGAAAGGCCCCTCACTTGTACTTTCACATTACATATATTTTATTATTCTTTGCAAGGTTGGCTTTGGATAACATGTCCACTTTTTCTCTATAAATAAAGGAATTTTTTGCAAAGGCAATGGGAGGATTTTTTTACCAGAGGAACGAAACCTCCAAAATCTTCTAATACACAACAACAAATCTCTCAAGTCCTTAAACACTTGTGAAATAAAAATACCCAGAATCCCATTTTCACCTATTTCAATTCTGAAGAACAGCTCCACACTCCAGTCTCCTTCGAATCCAGTGGAAAGAAGCATCACACTTGCTTTCTTTCCTCCTTCGAATCCAGTCTCCAAGGCCTAGCTTCAGGCCCCTCCCTTTGAATCCAGGAGAACCCAGGGCCACCACTCAAGGTCCAGTTCACCTTCAAGGCTGCAGCAAGGTAAGTTACTCTTACCCTTGCATCTTTCGTTTCAAACATAGCATGTATATAATATTTTTCTCCTTTTCGTTTATACCCTTTTAATTTGTTTTTATGGCTAATCCTTTTGTTTCTTGTTTCTTGAGTTATTAAATATACTTTAAGAATTAATTTGGCCACAAGACAAATGCCAACATGGACTTAGACCATGTTGTCATTTAATATCCCAAACGAAAGAAACAGGAGGAAAGAAACATGAAACGAAGCCTTGGGCTTCCATGCTGACCTCCAAGGCAGAAAGGCAGAATTAGAAGGCACACTTGCACGAAGTCCAACCCCAATCGAAGGCCATGACTTACTAATTCTAGGCCCAATCGAAGAAGGTAACAAGGCAGAAAGACAGAACCAGAAGGCGCGCCCTGCTGACTTCCAATGCCCAATCGAAGGCCATGACCTGCTGGTGCCAAGGCCCAATCGAAGGCCATGACTTTCTGGATGCTAGCCCCCAATCGAAGAAGGCCAACAGAAGCAGAATCGAAGGCTGCTTCCCCCTAATCGAAGGAGCTCTTTTTTCTTCTTTTTATCTTATTTTTTCCTTTATATTTTTATGCATTTCAATATGGTTGTAATAGTGTAGGATTTATTTTTTGCACTTTTTATTACTTTTGTACAAATGCTAGTAATTAGGTGTGTATGGAAAGATAAAACCAACAAGTAGACAACCCAAAAATCAAAGACAAAATGCATGCAATCAAACACACTTTCACACATGCACCCTTAGGGTAATTCCACTTGTTGCATTGAAAAATGGTCATGTTATGCATGTGGGATATCTTAGCAAAAACAATCAAAACACACAAGATCATTGTCCCTCGATGATGCTATCAATGTTGCCTTTCAAAATGATCTTAGTCCCTCAAAGAGAAATGCTAAGATATCTCACAACATTGCTATCATGACTATACGATGACCCACACCCGTCCCTTTACATCCAAAGACAAGGATTCTTACCAAATCAATGGTAATATAGCAATATCAAAGAAAAGGAAGAAATGAACAAAGACTTTTGAGTAGGTAGATTGTTCGTAGTTGCTTGCTCATTTTCAAAACAAACATCCTTGCTCATTTTCAAAACAAACACCAACACTTTCAAAATATTTTCCAAACATGAAATATTTTCAAAAGCTCAACACTTTGTATACGTTCTTACGAACAAGAACTATTACAAAGTTTGCCTAAATGAAGGCGCCTTTTCAAAATACTTTCAAAAATCACACAAAGCACATTTTTCAAACAAAGCAAGTGATCTAGAAAGCAAATAAGAGCCCATAGATAACTATGGATGAAAAGGGTGTTAATACCTTCCCTTTTCATAATCTACCCCCCGATCTCATAAATAATCTCGAAAGGTCTTTCCTGTTCTTTTCAGCCTTTCCTTATTGCATAAAATAAAAGTCGGTGGTGTCTCTTTCTATCCGCAACAATTGCAATAAAACGCAAAACACCCAAGTCGGTTCTCCCACCGTATCACAATTAGTAACACTAAAAGGCATCACTAAATATTCATAGTGTCTATATCGAGTTCGGAAAGCTGTATTTTGAATATCCTCTCCCTTTACTCGAATTTGGTGATATCTCGACCCCAAGTCAATCTTGCTGAACACACACGCATGTACCAATTGATCCATTAAATAAGCTATCCTCGGAAGTGGATACTTATTCTTGATCGTCACTTTGTTCAATTATCGGTAATCCACACAGTGTCTCATACTACCATCCTTCTTTTTCATAAGCAGCACTGGAGCTCCCCAAGGTGATACACTTGGTCTAACAAATTTATTTTCAAGTAACTCCTCCAGTTGTTTCTTCAATTCTGCTAATTCAAATGCTGACATCCGATAGGGCGCCATAGAGACAGGCTTGGTACCCGGAACAAGATCAAATTTAGTATCTTTCTCCGTGTGCGAAGTTTAGTATCTATTCAAATAGTCGCGACCGAAAGCTATACCACATAACCTACGAGGTAGACATGCTCCGAACTTCGTCTCCCTACCAGTCGAGGAACAATTGAAATGTTCTCCATGAAGTGAGTTCCAATCTCTGCTCGAGTGGCCATGCATAAAAACAACTCCATCCTTCTACGCAGTGAAAAATCCCAACTAAGTTATGCTCGCCATACAGAGAAGTTGGTTTTAAGTCATAACTTCTTTTCCGTCAAGAGCAATGACTTGGAGGGCTCCTATTCTGGATTGGGCCTGCACTTGGCTCAAACATCACACAAGGCCCAATCCAACTACATTACATGAGAAGGCCAACAAGAAGAGTCTGCCCTCGACTATGTCGGGCAGGAACTCTACTCTTCTGGTCGACTTGGTTTTGACCTATGGGGAAAACCCATGAGTGACGAGTAGAACCAAGAATGCTCAAAAGTTTCTCACGGATACCGTCCACACTTCTTGTCGACCAAGACCAATCCTTCGAGCATCCTCTTCGTAGGGCTGACACTCAACACCCCATAATATCGCGGAGTCCTCTTTACCCCGAAAAGATTGCATCCATATCCTCTTGATAGTTCAGAGGAATCCATCTAGGTTGGGGACCACATGCTGGCCCCCACTACGCGCCTATGACCTGGTAGTTCCATTCTTAGGCCTGCTTGCTCAGCCCAACAATGGGGATCTTGGCCCAACGCTGGGGGCTATAAATACCCTCTCACTTGAGAGGGCCAGATATTCATTCACTCATTCATATTCTCATACTCACTTGCATTAACTCTGAACCTCACTTTGACATTAGAGTGTCTTGCAGGTACCCCCCACTTCACATTCAACCGCTGCTCGACTTAAAGCTTGTGGGCTTTGACAATCCCTTGTGACTAGGTACGATCAAGAACATAATATTATTTCATTACATTCCGCTTTATTTGACCTCAATCAATCCAAATATAGTCTTAATTTCACTCTCACTCATCATTAAAATATAAAAAAAATATTCAAAAGAGAAATAGAGAAAATAGAGAAGAAATAAGAGAAAAATGAAAAAGAGAATTCAAGGTGTCATCACTAATAAAAAAATACAGTGTGGATCTACTCCAGTTCTTAAAATCTATTTCCTTAAATTGAAGGATAACACGTGAAAATATAATTATAAAAAATAGAATTTTATTTATCTTCTCTCATCTCTTGTCTATCTAAAACACAAAATATGAATGACTGTTGTTAAGAAAACAACATAGTCACATTGTTAACAATGATAACCATTTGATTTATATTTGACGATTTAAATATAACATTAAATCAATATTAAAAATATATTATTTAGAATCATTAAATGAAGATTGAACAGTCAATAAAAACGACTACGTGAACGTGACTGCACTAAACTAATGGCTGTCAGAAATCCTATTTCCTAAAACACTTGCTTATTCTCTTCTAGTGACATATAACTTTAGTGTTTAACTGTTATGAGTCGGTAGAGTTTGAAAAGAGAAGGGTTTGTGAATAATTACTTAGCAGTAAAAGGTTAGAAATAATTAATTTTTTAGGTTTTAAATCACAACCTTTGATTTTTATTTTGCCACATGTTGTGCATCTGTGAAGTGAAATGGATAACTGGATAGGTATATAAATGGAGGGGATACGGGAGTTATAAACCATAACCCCTGTGACTGTCTGCCTGTCTCCAGTACGGCCCTTTTCCGTCACTACATGTGTCTCTACTCCGCCGTGAGTCGCGTCTTCTCCGATTGTTCTCTACTGCGTGTGAATCTCCTTTAAAGAACAGAAACTTTCATTTCTTTGAACCACTACCATAACCTAAGGTTTTAACTTAACATTCTATGTTAAATTTCGAAATAAACTCTTTTTTTCTTGCTTTGAAGAAATTAACGCGGTTATGCTACTTTGTTACTGATACAGGAAGCGAAAATGAAAGAAATTGTTACTATTCAAGTTGGTGATTATGCCAATTATATTGGCTCTCACTTCTGGAACTTTCAGGTTTGTATTTGTTCATTTTTTTTTTACGATTTAATGATACAAATTTGATCCACTTCACATTCTGTTTGCTTTGTATATTTGTTTCCAATGCTTTGAAATGCCTTTTCCTTTTCTTTCTGATTATGCAATAATTATGCTGTGTTCAATTGTTAGGATGAGTTGCTTGGGTTGGCTGGGGACCCTCAAGCTGATTCAGTCTTCAAAAATCAGGATCTTAACATGGATGTGCTTTACCGTACTGGTGAGACACATCAGGTGCAATTTTCTCTAGTTTATATATTTCTAATATTATTGGTGAAATAGGTTCTGCATAGAGTTTAACTATTAACTGGTACTTGAATGTCTCGATGGAAATTTTTAGTAGTAGTTAAAATTGCGACAGATGATTTGAGTTTATAGATTAGAACCATAGCTGTTCTACTTATGCTTATACCGTTTTGCTTAAATGTGTGCAGGGCATCTATACATACACTCCTCGCCTAGTCTCAATAAACATGAGAGGTATTTAATTTATATGCTTTTATATTGAAATAACATATCAGTGTGGATCTTGTCCTTTTCATTAGATCTATTTGTTGGTGTTGTTGTTCATTAAGTTGACACCACATCACTTTGTGGTTGTGAAGGATTTATGGTCAGGCTTAAATTCAACTGAAGTATGGGAAAAAAATAGTGACCATAAAACATGCTACTGGCATGTAGCAGGACTTTTTCCGTTGGTGCAAAGGTTCAGTGATGCTGTGAATTAATTTGAATAATTTTTTGTGTTGAAATAAAAATCCGATGAGCATGTTAAGTTGATGGCAAAATTGTAAACAATTTAAACAAGAGGACCGACTATAGTTAAAACTTACAATGCCAAAAACAGAAGACAACGTATTTTCTTATTGCGAAAGATAACTTACTCGATATCTTGGCAGTAAAAAGGACTCCCTCCATGTCATAAATGGTGTCCTATTTGGAGTGTGCGTGACAGTGTTGTCAATGGCGAATGACGGTCCATGGCGGATAGCCAAAATCCCGCCATGCCTGTCACTTTGTGCCGCCGTTATAGCGGATTATGGCGGAAAAACCCCGCAATATCGGCCTGTATTTACCATTGCGGAGAGCCCAAAAACCGGCATGTACATCCGCCATAGTGGCCATGGCGCCGCCATTTGATAACACTGGTGCGTGGTTCTTAAGAAATTGAGTTGTCGAGTTGGTTTTAATGGTAATATAATGTGTCATGACTAAAACACCCTTATTAACTGTAGTTAGTTGAATAGCTAGGTAGTTAATAAGAGTTCACCAGTGGAAAGAAATAATAAGTACTTTATTGGCATTCTAAACTGACAATTACTATTTTGAGACAAAAATTACAAAACGTGACACTTTTTATGAGACAAAGGAAGTAAATTATTGAGATTGTTGACTTTTCAATGAAGACAATTCTAGATGTTTGCTTTTGACATGATTCCCGCATATTTAAACTTTTTTTTGCAACGTTGCTAGCCTTACCTTTTGTGGAGTTATCTGGTGTTTCCTTTTTGGATGTCGTATTTTATCTCAACTAAAATCCTTGCAACCATGGTTATCAAAATCTCGATTTAAATCTTAAAATCTTATGATTTTACGATCTCACTCACCCCCAACGATCTAGATCTTAAGTAGAATCGAAGGTTATAGTCAAATTGTAAAAAAAAATGGTAAAAACATTGATTATGTGCTATCATGGCCAATTCCAGCCACGATCGGCCATTTACCGGCCACCGTATTACAAGCCGAGAATGACAAGATACAGAAGTGCAACAATTATGGTTCGGCTGCGTCCATTTTCCCACAAATATACTTGCCTACAAAAATATCATGGAGAAATACTTCAAATATGTAGTATTATTTTACGTTTTAGTAGTATCTTACGATTTTTGTTACGATCTTATGTTTTACAATCTTGCTAGTTGCTACTCACTCTCGATCTTACAAAAATAATTGAGTAAGATCTTCCGATCTTAGTTATGATCTTATGTTTTACGATCTTACTATCCCCTCCCGATCTTATGCAAGATCCCGATCTTGACAACCTTGCTTGCAACTTCCATTTGCTTTTGCGAGTGCCTTACATTTTTGTCTTCTGTTGATCTCATGATGATAGCATGTAGCACTGTAAAAGTATTTAGCATAAAAGTAATTGTATAATGTCTCATCCGTTTTTCTTTTTAGTCCAAACATCATTCATACTACCCCCATTATAATCTATTTTTCCGGATTTGTTAAACTTTTCAGGATCCCTTGGAGCTATGAGCTCACGTGGTACATTATATAAGGAGGTTGCTCCCACAACATCAGATGTTTTCACTTGGTGAGAACTTTTGCCTATGCTTTTATAATGAAGGTTCAATGAAAACTATAGAGTAGAGAAACTGTAGAGGATTGAGGAAGGAACTCTAACATTGAAATTGTTGTGAACATTGATTTCTGTTGTGTGTATTTTCTCTCTAGATTATTAGCTTTTAGAAAATTGGCGTTGGATTCCTTACAGTTCTTTTGTAAATATTAGCAATGTTTAGACATATTATAAGGTTAGTATTAGTAAATAGGTTGTTGATATAGGCAATACTTGAAAACTGTTATAATGATGGCAGATATTTCCTACAGACACACTAAAAACACTTCAGATTTAAGAGTATGCATAAAATAAAAAATGGTCTCTTTTCTACTTGAAGACATTCTTGTTCAGTCGTATCTTTTTACCATTGGACATCATACTTTCTTCATCAGTTGTGTCTCCATAGGCTCTTGGTTTAAATGATGTTCAAATGTATCTAATGTACATAGTCCTATGTGCAGGACTGGTAGTGTTTCCCCCCGTGCCTCTGAACCTCGGAAAAAAAATTTGTTCCTACAAAGTCTTTATGAAGAAGAAAGCCAAAATATGGTAAATGAGATAAGTGGTTCAAACAGTGGTTCTCCGAGTGAGTATCAGGATAAGGATATAACTGAGAGTCTAGAAAATGGAGTTCAGTTTTGGACAGATTACTCAAAAGTACATTTCCACCCGCAAAGTCTATATGAATTAAATGGAGTTTGGACGGATGTTGAGGAATTTGACAATTATGGAATTGGAAGGGATTCTTTTTCTTGGGCTTCACAAGGGGAAGAAATTAGTGATAGACTTCGTTTTTTTGTTGAAGAATGTGACCATGTACAGGTAACTATTTTTCCTTTTTTAATCTCGTAGTCAGTTTAGGGAATAGTTCTCACATATTTACATTTTACTCTTGTAATGTAACATTGAATGGAGGAGGTATCTAAAACATCTGGTTTTTTTATGCTTTCATTTTCCAGTCAATTTGTATTCTTTTTCATTTGCTTATACCTTGAACGTAGGTAATGATGCTTGTATTTAATGAACTAGATTTATTATTTCTATGCATTTTATTTTACAACGAAGGAAGTATTTCATAAACTTGAACAGAACCTGTAATTTGAAGTACAATAGTCGTAATTCTGTAAAAGCTACGGTATCCTGACACAGTAACATTTATAATTTTATAATCAACAAACCTACTTTATTTTTAAGCTTTGTCTACTTCAGTGTGATATTTTAATATTGATGGTACTATTGTTATACTCACAAAAACATATGGTGTTTTGATCTTAGTCATGGCCCTTTTCTGTTAGGCTTTTAAAAAAACTCTGTTTGCTTTGATGTTCCTTGAACAATGATTCTTTAAAATTTGGCAGGGATTTCAATTTGTAGTTGATGACTCTGGAGGTTTCTCTTCTGTGGCTGCTGAGTTTCTAGAAAACATTGTGGATGAGTATACAAACACTCCTGTGCTGCTGTATGCTGCCCATGGTTCTCGTTCACGAGCAAGTCTTCAGACCAGGAAGCGTACAATCTTAGAGGAGCTTCATGATGCTATATCATTTTCAAGACTATCATCCTACTGTAAACTAATTGTACCTGTTGGTCTGCCCTCCTTAGGTAACTGTATATAATATTTTGTAATGTTGAGTTGTTCTTTATACTACTCGAATTTAATAGTCAATATCCGTCTTTGATAATACACAGAAAATAATGACGATTAATATGCCGATACTGTACAAATTTAAATGGTCATTAATGGCCTTGTTTTGCTTTGTTCTCTATTCTAATATTACTGCAGTTTCCTCAATGATGTCAAAATGTATCGGTGTTGGCTAATTGATGCTTAAATTATAGAATCCAAATCTCTTATTCAATTATACTGAACCTTCTTATGATGTCTTTATTCTGATCTAAAGTTTCCCTTTTCATTAAATTTCTTAGGTAGAGCTTCCAAGTTCCTCCACATTGAAGATGACAAGCATTACCACTCAAGTGCCGTTTATGCTGCTGCTCTACACTCCATTAGTCTTCCATTCCGAATGTTACCAGTTGGGCCTACTGCAGATGCATGTTCTGTTTCTGGGGCTGTGGATTTTCATGGACTTATTCAAATGTTATCAGGGCAAGGAAGGCAGAATATGGTGTCAATTCTGGATGTTTCCATGCCAACACCTGCTTTAACTGGTACGTATGAATAATATGAATTAAACTTGATAAGAAATGTTTTTTTTTTTTGGTGAAAATAAGAAATGTTTTTGATTGGGTCTTATTGTTGAAATTCAGGGGGACAGAATGAACTGTCTTTGTTAGAAAACTTTCAGCCGTTGACCCCAATGCTTTCTGAGGATGATGAAGACATACAGGCAATTGAACACTTGACAGTACATGGAGCTTTTGCATCAGGTATTTCCGTTTAGATTTATTAATAATGGATTTTTCTTGTATGTTCTTGTCATAGTTTTCTAAATTTAAATATTATTATTATCCACTTCAACAATCTTGCCATGTATCTAATAAGCACACCACCAAGCAAAGAATTGTCAAAATGCATGATTATTTAGTCTTCCTTACTTAGTTTACTTTTATCTCCTGTTTCTTCTGAATTTCTGTTTTATCTTCATGATTATTTTCATCTCAAACCCTTCGGTGTTTTGGATCAATAGAGGGTCGCCGCGCGTCAGTTTGTGAAGTAAAAGATACAGTGGATGCTGCTTTTGAGCGTGCCAATACAAGGCCAATGTTCAGCCATCTATCTGTTGCTCTTTGTCCTCTGCCTATTCCCTTGCCTTTTCCATCAATCTTTGGAAATCAAGTTGGCAAACATGGTGAATTGATGAGCAGCCAACTGACTAATTCGTCATCAAAAGGATCCCTTGACGTCCATTCCATTCCCATGGCTGCCAGATTACGTTCCAGCAGCGCTGTCTTACCACTTTTGGAGAATAAACTGCAAAATCTTCACCGGTATGGAATTACGCGAGGAGCAGCAGGGGCCGAGTTACTTAGGAGCTGGGGCTTTGGAAGAGAAGAACTGGTGGAAATGCAAGAGATGTTGTCTAAAATGGTTTCTACATTGTGTCCTCCTCAATTGTCATCTGATTCAGATTAGAATGCATACATATGATACATTCTTCTCGGTATCAAAACACACGAGGGGGAACATCTGTAAGGTTATGGTGCTTTGCTCTGTGACTCCATACTGACTTTTAGGACCTCGTCCGGGGGACTAATCTTGTCCTTCAAGCATTCAACAAAAGCCAACATCTTCTTAACAACGATATTTACGGAGGCTCTTCTTCATTTGCTGGTAAACGGGCATAAGATCATGCTGGGACTGCGTGCATTTTTGAAGGGTGTTAACTGTTATTTCCAATGAATTATATTATTAATTATCAATATCAATGACAATGCGTTGGTCCTTAAGAGTTCTGGACCTCGTTTTGCAGTAAACATTTAATTTAATTGGTTATATTATAAACAAGTTATACATCAGTTTTCGATCTTCAATTTATTTAGAGTACTACTATATTCTGGTTTAAATTTAGACTAAGCACATTTTGATTACTGTTTATACTTCCGGAGAAACTATTCCTCAAATATGGAGAAGCTGGCCTCCCATGATGTGCTTTGCATATTATATTCAGTTTTGAATTGAATAAAAATCTCCTATAAAAATGTGTTAATATACAGAATAGACGTTATGGGTTAGTATAATATATGAAGGATATATATATGTTATGTGGTAATGAATGAGATTTTTTAACATTACTTTAACCAGAAGACTGAACTTAAAATTTAACGACATGCCATGGTATTAAAAGAAGTATTTAGCTTTTTATAATTAGCTCAGCTAAAACTTTGCTGTGAATTTAAATTTTAGTTCATAATGATAATTTGAGGATTTAACATGATACCTCACAAATTAAACATGACATCTCCCTAATTTTAATTATTTTAGAATTATCTCTATTGAGATACAAATAATTTCTGGACGAAATTTCTAATAGAGGTTTCAGTACATGCAAAATTTCTAATGCACTCTTGCAAATTTTCGATTTAAATTTTCGGTATTCCGTAAATTTCAAATTTACTAGACAATATCGAAAATTTGAGTTATACTAAAATTTTCGATAGTTCAATTATTCAAGTCTTTTAACAGTCGAGATTTTTTTGATATCTTTGGAGGGTTCTGATTGCATCGATAAATTTGTGTTGTCTAGAATGCATCGTCATTTATATAAATAGGGGCATGCTATAGAGGAAAACATCTCAAAAAATGTCTCTTCCTCAATTTCTGATTAAGACAGAAGTATATTACGACATAAGCAACACTGTTGTTGAATTCCCGCTTTCAAATGGCAGCACATCCCTTGCCATCTTGAAAGAAACATTGAATGCATTACTGCATGATTTCGATAACAAAAAGGGTGACAAAGATCGAGTTCCAGGACCATTATATTGATACAGATGGTTGGGTGAAATACAACCTGATTGAATTGAAGACCGATGAAGATATGAAGGTCATGTGGAAAACATTTCGCCGTAGGATAACTAAAGGTCCGATCAAGTTCGATGTGGAGATCTAAAGATCCGTCAACGACATAATCAAGATGCTGAAACGTCCAAAATCACCCGGTAATGCCTATGTTTTCATGTTTAGTTGTTTTTAGTTTTTGTTGGTTGTATTGTTTTATGTTATGTTCATCATCGATTCGAAACATGTAATCACCAAAATATTATGCAATAAATAAAAAATCAGCGTATCACAAAATGTACATACAGTACAACCAAAATAAAACAGATCTACATAGGCCCTCCACGGGCTACATCGGCTAATCTAGCTAAACTTGTATAAATCTCACTGTCAGGGTTTACCAAACACATGAGGTTATCTAAATGAACTGCAATAAACTGTAGGCAGTTGTCCTGATCACATGCAGGTGGTGGTGGCGACTCGACAGAAATCCTAGCACGTGAAGGTCCCAAAACATCAGATATTGCAGCCGATGGTATGATCTGAGAGTGTGATATACTATGATATCACTTCAAGTATCCATTCTCGTACTGTGAAGGATGCTGAACCACAAGTGACCTCTCCCTAATCTCACGAGCATAACTGATGATGTGACTCTGAAACCATTTGTCAATGCCAGCAGCTGGAGCCTCGGGAAATGGACGAAGGATGCCCTAGATCAAACCATATTATCATAGACACCTATCAGGTAAGTGTCTAGTCACATGGTTCTCCCACCTAATATGTCCTAAATACAAAGAAGCGACGTAAAATACACGATGAGGCCGATGAGATGTATATGGTGTCCAGACGACATCCTTTACGACCAGAGCGTCAAGCCTCCTCCGGTACTCCATCAAACCTCCTGAAAGGGCTTGCTTGGCCTTCCATCTTCTCACACATGGTACACTAGCCAGAACACGCTGGATCTTCCGATCACAAACGTGGGAGAAGTGCTCGTATATCCAACATTGCATAAATAAAAACAATCAAATAAATACACCCAAATAAATAATAAAAACAATCAAATAAATTATAGTATACATGTAAAAGGCTAAGGTAACCAGTTAGCTGTCTGGTCTCAGGCTGAGTAGCAACTCCAAGTGTCGTGTACAACATGGTCAACTCCGCCACTCCTAAAGCTCAACAAGGAGTGTCAAGGGTGCTAAACAGAGACATGTAACGAACATCGATGTAAGCTCCAAACGTATCCACAAAGAGAGTACATGCCACCATATGTAGCACGTATGCCCTAGCGGCAGCCTGGTACCTATGAGCCTCCACATGCTCCGCGTACCTATCTCTAAGCCAAGACATCTAAAGGTGAAATCCAAGGTTAAAGCCAAAATTATCTAGTACCTTCCGTTGTACCCCAAAATTTACCCTTCTGTTTTCTTAAAGATACCTTCTCATGCTTCTAGGGTTCTCAAATGCTCAAGGTTGCTCAAGAATTGATCAGATAAATTCTTCTCCTAAGCAGTTGACCTACAACTAGGGTTTTGCTTTTCTCAAGGAAAATTGGACTTATAATGCCTCAAGTGAAGTTCATGGTTTCTCATATGTCTCAAAGAATGCTCATGCCAAGTTTCAAGTCTTGCATCACAAGTTTGCTCAGTCAATTGCTCAGATGACTGAAAATCAACTGCATCGAACAAAAAGTCAACTATGATCAACATACAGTTAAACTTCAAAATTTTTGGTCAACATCAAGATTTTGAAGTCACATTCATCATTTGATCAAGGGTTGATCATGATTCATCAAGAAAACTCAAAGATTTATCAAAAGTCAAAAGTTATTAAACTAGGGTTTTCTTAAAGAGAAGTCAACCGAACTTTGACCAAACACAACTTTCACACACTTCATTAGATTTTTTCTAACCAAAGCTCATTTTGAAGGAAATCCAATTATCTACAACTTTGTCTCTCTAAACTCAAGTCCAAAAAATGCTTAATTTGAGAGACATGGGTCAAAACATTACATGTCATTTTAAAAAGTCAACAAAAAGATACTTTTGGTCAAAGCAATTTACATCAAGATAAATTCTTCAAATAAAAAAATGATTAACATATAGAATGTAGGAGATATATTGAGCTTTCCAAAAAGTCCAAGATCACCTTCATATGATAAAAATTGAGAGAGTTATGATTGGTGCTAGTTGAGCAATTTTGAAAAAATGCATGAAACTCAAAGTGAGTAAACTTGGAATTTTGGGCTAGTGGGCTTGTGTTTCAAAGTTCAAACGTGAATAAGGCCTCAATATGAATTAGATAAAATAAATTGCCCCTTGTATTTTTTATTCTATTTATTTTGATTTTATTTATTTAAAATTTAAAATAAATTAGATAAAATAAGAGGCTTTCTTACAAAAGTCCAATCCCAATCCATTTTGACCTAATTCATCATCATATATTCTCATTCATTCAGACAAGACCAGCCACAAAAACCTTGCACAAGATCACCTTTCCAAAATTCCAAAAAATACCAAAACTAGGGCAAATCGAAACCCTACCCTGCAGTCTCCCTCAAGGCAAAATACTTGTCCCATTCACTCCCAGAAGCACTGTAGGGTAAGAATGGATCAACTTTGAAGATCTAAAAGGCCTGAAACCCTCGTATATGCTTCAATGGTTTCCAATATTGCACGACATTCATATTTTTGTTTTCTTTGCATTTTAATGCATACTAATAGTACTAACATTCTTCTAAGGTATCACTATGCAGGGTAGACCCATCGCATGGCCCTCATAATGGCTAAATCGAAGGTTGCCATGTTTGCACCGTGTGATATTGTTTTCGTCATATCTCTTTCTACAACACAATTTGGCCAAAACTAAGGGTTCCATTGAAATCACAAGGCCCAAATTAGGGGGGTAGGGTCCTTGAGAATCACTAATACTCCTTGTTTTTGCAGGTTGAAGAACAAACTCACTGGAGAAGACGATCGGTGCTAGGGCTCCGATGCTTCTCCGGTCCAGTAATTGCGTTTATTATATAATTAATTGCTTTGGTTATATTACCGGATGAAACAACCACCCCAATGGAAAGGAAGCGCGCAATAAGACATTAGTGTACAAGGGCCTGGGTTCGATCCTTGCCTTTTGTCATTTTTTCATGTTTTCTATTTTCTACAGATTTTCCAGCGCGCATCCTCATAATAACCATACCATACGCCCTGCCACTTCTCACCATCAGATCTTCACAAATATGATCCAACGCCCAGGAATATGCAAGCCCGTGACATGCTCCTTTCAGACGCCACACTGGATCCAGCGCTGGAGCCTCAGTGGACCTGGACCTCATTGCAATCTCCACCCCCTCTTTTTTGCTAATTTAGGCCCGATTCCTCCTCTTATATTTTCCTTTTTCTCTTTTATTTATATTTGTTATTATTTAATTAAAATACAAATATAATTAGTTTTAGGTTTATTTATTAATTAAAATTAATTAGGTTTTAGTTTTTAAATAAACTTTTAATAATTTAATTAATTAATTAATTTTTTAAATTAAAATTAATTAGATTTAATAGGTTTTAATTAATTATCACAAATCATTCTTTTCATAAAAAATCACCAAAAACATTTCTTTTTTCTTTTCT